TAAAATCTGAGCATGTATATCTTTCCAGTTTCATCAATCAAAGTTCAATTCCTATTATATGGGGTTTTGAGCATTACAATTTTGAAATATTTTTAAAATGATTCATTATCTTTTTACTCTTTATGTTTCTATTGCAGGTAAAGAGGATGTTGCGCAAGAGGTTGTGCCCAGGATTCAGACTAGAAGGGAAGAAGACTTAGAGGCAAGTAAAGCAAATCAGCACATTTATATTGCTAATCAATAAATAATAGTATTTTGATGCCTGGGCCTGTTGCAAGAGCACACGATGGAAAAGCTCAGACTCATATAAGCCAAGCTTTGAAGTTTCCCAAGTGCATTGCGTCAGCTGAGTCAATCTCTGAACTACTTCCTTGGTCTTTAGGGACAGCATTTCCTGATCTCTGTGGCTTCCCAAGTCACATAGCTGGGCAAAGCACATATAACCACAATTGTTGTAGCCAAACAAGAAATCTTAACCGGACTGACTATTCTACTGTGCTTATTTTGTGGTGCTTTTCTTCTTTGAATCTGCATCCTGTCTGGAACATTTACTTAGCCCTGGGATTGTCATTCTCCCCCCCACCCAAACTTTCCTTTCTGAACGAGTATCTGAAGCTTTTTCATATAGAGGGACATAGGAAGCTGCATAATACTGAGTCAGACCATTAGTCCATCTAGCTCAGTATTGTCTGCACTGACCAGTGTGGTGTAGTGGTTAAGAGCGGTAGACTCGTAATCTGGTGAACCAGGTTCGCTTCCCCGCTCCTCCACATGCAGCTGCTGGGTGACCTTGGGCTTGTTGCACTTCTCTGAAGTCTCTCAGCCCCATTCACCTCACAGAGTGTTTGTTGTGGGGGAGGAAGGGAAAGGAGAATGTTAGCCGCTTTGAGACTCCTTCAGGTAGTGATAAAGCGGGGTATCAAATCCAAACTCCTCTTCTTCTTCTGTCCAGGATTTCAGAGAGGGTTCACTCCCAGCTGTACCTTAGATGCTGGGGATTGGACCAGGGTCCTTCTGCATAGACACAAGATGTTCTGCTGCTGAGCTATGGACAAAGCAAGACCACTGATTCATCTAAGTCCAGTACTTCCTCCAACTGGCAGTGGCAGCTCACCCAAGAACTGAGCAGAGATCTCCCCAGAAATACTGTATAGTGAATCTGGCTTCCAAAAATGCAGAAGTTGGCCTCCCCCAATATATTACAAACAAAACCAGGAACCGAAAGATAGATATACTAGTGAGCAGGAGTGACTGGCACAGTGGACCAGTGCCTCACTCCTGATCCTAATGTCACTGTGACTTACCTGGACGGTGTGGGGGTAAGCAGAGCTTGTGAGGGTCAGTACCTGCTGAGCCAATTCTCACTTGCTATTCCTGCTCATAAGGTTTCCCCTGCCCTGACTTCGAGACATCTCTGATCACCGTTAACAGCTCAGATGTTTTGATGTACCAGACAAATCATGTGTAACTTGAAAGAAGTACAAAATGTCCTCCCCCTTTTTTAGAATCTTACTCAAAAGAAGTGAGTGGAGGAAATGTATGAGTTCACCACCAGACAGCAGAGAAGGGGTAGCCATCTGGAAGCAGAAATGGTTGGTGGTGTTTCACTGTCACTCGTGAAGCCCATCTCAGAGGTTAGTTATGCATGGCCCTGTAGATGTTCGCTGTACAGATGGTACATGACGCACTGAAAAAAACTAACACAAAGCAGCTGCCTGAGCATAAACAGACTCTTTGAGTGATTGTTCCTTTTCCCTGGGGAAAGGGCATGTTTGTCCTGGTTGGCATGGTCACAGTCTTCTCAGTGGCAATACCAATAGGACTGAGCAGCACATGTTCTGTTCTGCCATTGGCCCTATCTCTTCTCCTTCCTTTGCTGCTGCTGAATTGTGTCAGAAGGAGAAGTAGTGTGGATTGAGGGATGCAGACAAGGTATGTGGAATCTGTGGGCACATTCCAGCTAAACACTATGTATTGATTTCAATGGGAGAGCAAGGCACCTACTTCATGGTTTCTCATTGAAATTGTGCTGAATTGTGTGCCCTTACATGCAAATCTAAAGGCTCCGGTGTATGGGGAACATAACAATTCTGAGTATAATATCATGGGTGGAATTTGTATTTGAATCACCTGCATTGGAATATTATTTATGAGAAAATGAAAGCGCAGCGAAAATGTCTCCTGCCTGCTGTTACCCAGAAGGTGTAGGGAGATGGGAACAAAAATGAGAAAACAAACCACCTCAGTAAATGGGTTTGGAGATTCAGAACCTGAAACGAAAAAACCAAATTGATGGCAGTTTGTAGATGCTCCAGCTATAACTGAACATCAACAGGAACACTTGGCTGCACATGTAGCACTATACCCCTGGGAAAATGTGGCTGTGAGTATCGTGTCAAAGAATGGTATATATTGCCTTCTGGGTAATATGCTCCTGGAAGGATTTCTCTTCCTCTGTGAAGGGAAATCATGTTACCAAAAGTTCAAAGCTGCCAGCTATGAAAACGTCAACACGGTTCACAACTGGCACATGACAGATTTCAACCTCTTAAAATAAACGTACAGGTTATATTATGAACTCTGAAAATACATATGAACAGTAAAAGTACTTGTGCAGCAAACATATGATAGGTACTGACCTAGGAAAAATGTCTGCTCTAATGCTTTAACTACAGAATTTAAATGTGCAAAAGTCATTAAACTATTTGGATTTTTAAAAATCTATTTTAGGACAAATTCTCAGTTCTTATATCTATCATATAGTTTCTTATGGTTCCGTTCGGAGAATTCCCAGATTGGTCTCTATCCAAAAGCATATTTAATACTCAGGCTGTACTGAATTCTGTCCCATGTGGATCTTTTGGCCAAAAATAGCCATTTCTTTCTCTCTCTGTGTGTGTGTGCACATGCAAAAATATATCCAGAAAGTCCTTTGGTTGCAAGAATATTTACTTTAAGAAAATCTTGTCTGGTGTTCCAGTTGCTGCAGCAGCAGCATTATTCCCCACCTTCCACTTACTGTTTCTATTGGCTTCCTGGCTGTAGCCACTGGCAGGTGGCAGTGTTCGTCTCCTACCTTCACAATTAGTCACATGACAGGTGACTAGCCAATAGGCATCATACAGTGAATGCAACACTACATCACTAAGTAGCCAACCAGGTTTGGTTAATATGATGACATGACAAAAGATAAAGGCAAGGCTTTTGCCTTAATGCAGAGCTTTCCAAACTTTTCATGTTGGTGACATACTTTTAGACATGCGTCATTTCGTGACACAGTAATTCAGTTTTACTGACAAACCAGAGATTAAACTAACCCTTTCCAGTCCCGGGAGGAGCGTGGAGAATGTTCACACGACACGCCTACACACTGCAGCCAACACACTAACGTGTCACAACAAAGAGTTTGGAAAGCTTTGCCTTAATGTGTAAGGGCAATGATTTATGGAGTCATCGGATCGGTTCCAAACCAGTCAGATCCGCTCAGGCTGCATATGCAGAATACATTTAAAGGACCCCCTTCCAATAATCCTGGAAAATGTAGTTTGTTAAGGGTACTGGGAATTGGAGCTCTGTGGGGGTAGACGATAGTTCCCAGAAATTTGGGGTTTGTGCTTTTAATGTATGGTGTGTACACAGCTACCATGAATGAGTGAGAGCTACACTTCATTTCAAAAGACTCTGTCCTGATTTGGTGTTTTTTTTAAAAAAAAATATCCAAGCATTTATTAATATAAATTAATTTTGGACTTTTTGTGTTGGTTTTAGTGATGGAGTAAGAATGCCTTCCGATATTTCAGGGCCTACAGTCAGATCATTAGTGCCCCAACAGATATCTTGTCTGGATTAAAATTCAATTTATTTACACTGACATTTGTTGTATAAATTTCCTAGGCTTCCTGGGATTAGAAGATATAAATGAGAGATAAGAGCTAGGTATCCTCATCGGGATGATGCCATCCCATCCCAAATCTTTGAATGACTTCAACCACTTGTTAGATGGGAGGCAAAAAAGGGAGTCTTTCTGAGGCACCTCATAAATCAAAAGTCTACCAGATAATATTGATTTTTCAGCGTCTGATAAACGGAGAATTTTTCCCCATCAAAAACTTTTGAAAGAGTATTTTCCTAGCGTTTGCACAAAATTCATAGGTTTTCAGTCCTCTGAAACAGGGTAGACTGACATTTTAAACATTAGATTAATGGTCTATTCCCAGTGATGTGGTATAAAGTGTTTCCTTCTCCTATCATTCCGATAACTAATACATTGATACATCACAACACACCCGTACTTAATACTGCAACACGGTTTCTTTTGCTGCCCCTTCTTTATTCTCCATTCTCTCTTCCTTAATTTCTTTTTTGGTTATGGTACAGGCCCAAGTCCTACATCTCAGTCGTATGCTTTCCACAAAGATCCTGTTCATCACTGCTAACTTCATGACCTGGGCAAGGTGTCTTCAACCCTGACCTCTGATTCACACTGTAACCTTGAGACTCTCTGATTGCCTCAGTACCAAACTGATCTTCCTCCCATGTTCCTTACATGATCCCTATGGTGATCCTCCTGTCCCAGTTTAGACATCCAAAACTCTAACCTTATTGGACCTTTCTGGTTGAGTTGGATTCCATCTCTACCTGCCTCTACACCAGTAGTTCTCAACATTTCCTGATCCATGACCTACTTTTAAGCCCAAATAGGAGCCGCTTCATTTTTTGTCACCTTAAGCTTATTTTTGTGTACTTTTTTTGGCCCCACTCATTCATTGGCCACTGTTACACATCCACATTCCTTATTCCCTCTGTGATTTTAAATGAAATGGGGGAGAAGTTAGATTAGTGAAATGGAATGAAAGATATACCAAAGCATCTTTTGGATAATATCCCATCCATGCACTTCAGACAAAGATGTCAAAATCGGGAAGAAGGGTTGTGCTGGGTTGAGAACCAATGAAATAAAAGATTATGAGGCTGTTTCATGCAGTACTAAAACTGATTCTTCAAGTAAATTCTTCAATAATTGCCTTCGAAGAGTTCTTATCCAGATGTAATAAATTTGCGCACTCCTTGTATCTCATAAAATCTCTGGACTGTGTTGACAACAATTCTAATATGGCTTAACAGAAAGAAGGGAACAGAATAAAAATTGCCACATTGAAAGTTTATTCCTAGCTAATGAACTACAGTGGATGCATTTAACCATTAAAAACTATTTTAACTTTGAACTGTTAACAAATTATGAAAACACGGGTTATTTTTTATTTATTTCACATGAGTCATTTATGTTGCCTCAAGGCAGGTAGAGATAAACTTTTTAATGCAATTCTATTAAAGTTCAGTCTTTTTCTCTCTTGACTCTCATAATTTCCATTTGCTCTAATAAAAACCTTTATTTTCTTCATCTGCCTTTCTAGTTGCAATCTTATGCTTCCTGAGAGGGGTTCCCAGAGACCATAAGGGTTTTTTGGAACTCCTGCTCTCCAAGGTCAGTGAGAAATCCAGCCTAGGAGAAAGAGATCTGACCTTATACCTCTTTGAGGTTGTAGAAAGGTATGCAGACAGTGCTCTTCTGATGGTGGAGGCATCCATGGGGGTATGCTGGGAGATTCTGTGGATCCATAGGATCCCAAACTTTCCTGTTCTCCAGGCACCACCATTCCCATGAGAATTGGGAACAACCTTACTAGCCCTGGAGTTGGCATATTTTATCTCTTTTTGAAATCAGTGGGAAATAAGCTTTTTTTTTTTTTAAAGGAAAAACCCCCTGAACAATGAACGAGGGGAGGCCTCACCACATCCTCTGTCCTGCCAGCATAAGCTGGCATGGTTCCTCCACCTTTGCTTCTCCCTCCTGCTCCAGAACTCCATGGGATCACTCTTGTCCAATAAGTAATTTGGATTCTTCCACTTCAACACTCAAGAAACCGTGGTCCTCCAGTTTTTGCTGGATTACAACTCCCATCACCCCAATCAATTTTTGTGCTGGCTGGGGCTGATGGGCGTTGGAATCCAACAACGTCTGGTCTTTTATCTTCTCATGGTAAAAGCATTATTATTATTATTTTTGTTTATCATAACATTTCACTAAGAAGCTTAGGGTGGCATGCATAGGGCAAATAGAGAGTGGTCGGCAACAGCCAGCAGGGATCAATCTTCTTCTATTTATTATTTTATTAATTTCTTTTCTCTCTTTACAAATATACTTATAACATACAGCTTACATCACATCTCTCCCTCCCCCTTTTGGACTTCCCTCAACTTCCATTTTTGATTTATTAACCTCATTCGTATATTCTGCTGTTTTCTACAAATACCATATTTTTCCTTTTATTGCATTATCTGTTTCCTATCCATAAAGTTGTGGATATTTATTTAGATCCTACAATCAGGTAAATATTCTTTCTTTGTTTCTGCAAATATAATATAAAAGGTTCCCACTCTTTTTCAAACCCCCTATTGTCCTTTTCCCAAAATCTGTGTGTCAGCTTCGCCAATTCCACATAACTCATCAGTTTTTCTTGCCATTGTTCTTTTATTGGAATTTCTCCAGTCTTCCAATTCTGTGCTAACAGTATTCTCGCCGCCACCACCACCACTTACATAAATAGTGTCCTTTTCTCTTTTGGCAGGTCTTGCCCTAGGGATCAATCTTCTTCTAGTCCAAGTTCCTCAAGAAATGGGGGCAGAGGGCCATCCATCTATATGTCACCTGGCTATTCTTAGGGGAATGGCAGGATAATCCGATCAATCAGCCGTTCATTTCTTATCTATCAGTTTCAAAGAGATGTGTAAATATAAACGCAAAAACACAGAAATAATAGGTTGGTATTTTTGCTGGGATCAGCAATTAAGAATGGCAAAACCATATGACCGCAAGTGGATTCCAAGAACAGAAATCTGTGTTTATGTGAAATTCATCAGGAAATGAACAAAGAGACAAAAGCTTTTCTTATAATATTGGCTGTCTTGAAACACAGTGAAGTGCAATTCCAGATTACCCTTCATACCCTTTATTTAACCCTTGTGAATTAGATTTAAAAAGAGGGAGGGGTGGATTGTTTGTCAAGTGGGTTGTTTTAACTTTGCAGACTGGCTTCTTTTGCAAGTCAATAAAATAAACTTGCATCTTCCTTCTAGAGGGGAAATTCCCTTTTTCCTCAGACTGTCATACCTATACCAAATGTGTGTAGATTTATACCTGCCTTGCATTCTTAGTAGGGCAAGTAGTGACCAGTAATCTAATTAAAATGTCAAAGTGAGCAGTCCATTGCGTATATTCAGCTGGGTTGTGAAGAGAAGAGAATTCTCTTTGTTCCCTTATGAGGAGCTTTCATCACATACTTCCTTCCAAAGTAATTCCATTTGTTGGCTAGTAACCTTGCAGAAGAGAAAACAATTACAACCAAAGAATCACTTCTGTGTCCTGGCTGGTCTATTTATCTCTTTGTAACAGGGTTATTCATCTGTCATTTCATCAGATAGTTTCCCTCATAGTTGGACCTTCTTGATAGACATGTTTTATGCATGTGTCCTTCTAAACTGCACCCTTTACGCACACACTCCATTCCACTCTACTCCACCAGATTATCGCTGCCATGTGGGAAACATTTTATCGGTGTGTTCCTCAAAGTATCCAGCAAGAGATGAGTAGTAAAAACATCTGAAAAATAATATTTCAAGTACTTTTGGAATTCAAGCAGTGCATTGCAGCCTGAGGCTGGGACTCGCATGGTCAGCCACTAGTTGTCAGATGTGGGTGGGTAATCAAGTTACAAGAAAACATACTGCGTGCATATCTGTGAAAATGAGCCTTTCGATTGCAGCTCATCCTCAGGGAAGTTTCTAACTAGAAAATGGTGAGGGCTGGGCCTATAAGCACCAAAAGTGTGTTCAATCAGATTTTTACAATTAATAGATACTAACATCCATTCAGTCTCCCTTTTGTTTTATCTCATAAAGGTTCGTTCACAAATAAGGATGAGAGAGCCCATCAATTGTGGCTTCTCTCAGCTTCTCATTTATACAACTTTAAATTTGGTTCTCTGCATCAGTTTGCATTTTTTTAAAGAAAGAAACTAATAAATATTCATCAGCATTTTAGTGTGAATTTATTCTAGCAAACATGCTTTTGAAAAGCAATTTTCCCTACTGCAATGCATTTTTGTTATTTTCACCAGTGCACACCTTACCACAGTATATGCATTTTTGTGCACATTACTTGGGTGGGGAATGGCACTGCAATTTTGGAGAAGTGTGAATTTTGAAAGATGGCCGTGTTTCGGTTTGCATATTGTTTCAGAACTGAATGTGAACTGAATGGAGTATCCCCTCTGTCCCTGCATCCCTGTTCACAAAGGCCTGCAGATCACTTGATTTACATTCATTAGTGAGGCTGCTGGTTCACAATTGTCAGGTTCAGGATACACATTTGTCCAGTTGATAATGCTCAGCTATATTATGAATCCAGCACCATTTCCTTTAGAAGGTCTTTTCTAGCTTGAAATGTAAAATGAGGTATGGTGCTAATGCAGCCAGCATTCAGCAGACCAGGTGTCCAAGACAGTTGGTCTGTTGGCAGAAGTACAAAAGCACTTCAACATTCACCCCCTTACAAATTTCTGTGAAACTATAGTACATTTTACACCGGCTTCTCTAAACACTCAATGCATGGAGGAGGGAGCAGTATTGCACCACTGGCCACACTAACAATGTTGTCATTCCTGCTGTGCCCACTCCAATATAATACTGATGTTCATGATTTGATTATTGGGTTAGGCAGATGTGGAGTGTCAGGAGTAAACACAAAATCATAGAATTGTAGAGCTGGAAGGGACCCTGAGAATCATCTAGTTCAACCCCCTGCAATGCAGAAATATGCAGGTGTCCCATACGGGGATTTAACCTGTGACATTGGTGTTAACAGCACCACACGCTAACCAACTGAACTAACATGCGACCTTGTGCAAGGTCATCATTTGATGCCTTTCCCCCAGCCCTTGCAGCATGGCTGTGGGCTTTGCGAAGAAAGTGCAAGGCTCTGGCAAGATCCTAGAGCCCTTCCTCCTCCGCCTCCTCCCCAAATCCTGATAAGTGCTTGCCTGGCTTTGGGAAGGAGGCAGGAGAACTCTAGGACCTTGTCAGTGTCCTCACACCTCTTTCGTAAAGCCAGGCTTTGAGAAGCCCCCCCCCCGGCTGTGCACCCAGTGCTGCTGCACCACTCGCACTGCCATAAATCCTCCTCAGGGTGTGTGCAAAGCTGAAGTAGGGCACTTCCAGATTGCCTGTTTATCGAGTATATGTTTGAGAGGACGTTAGATCATGGTGCATCAAAGCAGGTGGCATTCCATTCTCCTCAGTGCATTTACTCATCACTTTCCTTCTTGCAAAAAGGAACAGCATGATTGGGGACAGCATGATTATTGCCCATAGCTCCTAAACCAACCATAATCATGCAGCTTGATTTTGTTAGTAGGTGGTTGAATCCCCCCCCCCAAAAAAATAGCAAAACTCTGGAAGTGTCCTGTTCATACTTGGAAATGACACCTGTAACGCCTTTTGATTTTGCTCTCTTAAAATGGCCTAGCATCCTGCAAAGCTTTCTCTCTTCCCCTCCACTCCCCTCTTAACCAACTGGGTGTATTTGGTTTTTTTAAATATTTTTTACTGTATCACATCTTTCCCCCATATGTTTATTTAAACAATTGCATTGAAGCATGGCTTTCATACTTTGATCCCAGCTTCCTTGCAGTCTTTTATTAGATTTTTTTTAAGGAGGCTTGAATGTAGGCTTCAATTGTTATTGTTAATCACCAAGGGAATACATGCACCTCTATGCAGTGTAGACTGTCAAAGGTTCAAGTCACTTAGTTATGTCTAACATTTATGCAGCTCATCATTAGCCCTGTGACTTCCTGAAGGAGCTCATAGTTTAAAAACTACAGTTAACACCACAGTGTCATGTTCAGAACTGTTGCGAGATTCCCACGGGAAAAGCAGCAGAGCTGGAGACATGAGGTGAGGCTGAGAGCAAAGTTGCTGAACCAAGTCAGCAACCATTGTTTAAGTAAAAATGTTCAGACCATCTTAACCAAATAAAGCAGAAGTGACATAGGATAC